TCAGACATGTCCAGTGGATTGCAAGACAGAGAAGAGTGACTTGTCACTCCAGAGAACACATCTCCACTGCTCTATCATCCAGTGGCAGTGTGTTTTACACCACTGCATCCGATGCTTTGCATTGCACTTGGTGATGTGAGGCTTGGAATCAGCTGCTCAGCCATTCCATGAAGCTTTCTACTAGTTGTTGTGCTAATCTGAAGGCCATACAAAGCTTGGCGGTCTTTAGCTATTGACTCTGTAGACAGTTGGTGACTTCTGCACACTTCAGCATGCGCTGACCCCGCTCTGACATTTTATGTAGCCTACCACTTCATGGGTGAGTTGCTATTGTTCCCAGTTGCTTTAACTTTGTTATAATACCACTAACAGTTGACCGTGGAATATTTAGTAGCAAGGAAATTTCATGGATGGACTTACTACACAGGTGGCAACCTATCATGGTACCACGCTTGAATTCACTGAGCTCCTGAGAGTGATCCTTACTTTCATAAAGCTTTGTAGAAGCAGTCTGCATGCCTAGGTGCTTGATTGTATGCACATGTACCAATACTTTTGGCAATATAGTGTGTATACAGTGGATATAAAAAGTCTACACACCCCTGTTAAAATGTCAGGTTTCTGTGATGTAAAAAAATTAGACAAAGATAAATAATTTCAGAACTATTTCCACCTTTAATGTAACCTATAAACTGTACAACTCAGTTGAAAAGCAAACTGAAATCTTTTAGGTGGAGGGAAGTAAAAATAAAAAAATTTAAGTAATATGGTTGCATAAGTGTGCACACCATTAAACTAATACTTTGTTGAAGCACCGTTTGATTTTATTACATCACTCAGTCTTTTTAGGTATGAGTCTATCAGCATGGCACATCTTGACTTGGCAATATTTGCCCACTCTTTCTTGCAAAAACACTCCAAATCTTTCAGATTGCGAGGGCATCTCCTGTGCACAGCCCCCTTCAGATCACCCCACAGATTTTCGATCAGATTCAAGTTTGGGCTCTGGCTGGGCCATTCCAAAACTTTAATCTTCTGGTGAAGCCATTCCTTTGTTGATTTGGATGTACAGTTGCAAGAAAAAAGTATGTGAACCCCTTGGGATTACATGGAGTTTTGCATGAATTGGGCATACAATGTGCTCTGAATGTCATCTAGCCACTTCCTCCTGTACCACTTTCCCCTCCCTCCTAGATTGTAAGCTCGAAAGAGCAGGGCCCTCGAACCCTCGTGTATCGCTCTGTCTTGTCTCATGTCTTGTCCCCCTGCCTTTGTACAGTGCTGAGCAAACCCTTTGGCGCTATATAAATACTGTATAATAATATAATAATAAGTGATCTACAGTGATATTAGGAGCCTGGCAGGGTGTATGACACTCAGTACAATAAAGTTGATTGCATACTAGACCCGAACTAATGATCTTTCGTTTTTTTTTTTTTGCATACTAGTCTCCATATCGAAAATAAAGAGGTTATTAAAGTTACGAAAATTCTCGTACAACAGAATACAAATTTGGAAGTGATGTCATGTATTGTATTGTATTTTCGACCAAAAACTGTACTGATTAAACAAAAATTGTACGATCTGGTATTGGACAAGAAATATTTTCCTGCTTGTCCCTTTGAATAATTTCAGATGAAAACTGTGTAGTAAGGATCAGATTATCATACGATCTCTTTGAAAGATGCAATTTTCTGATCCTGTGTACTAGGCTTAACACTTTAGAGTTTTTCAGCTTGTTTTCCTTTGTCTAACTTTCTAATTATCCCTGCTCACACTTGTACGCTCAACACCTTACACTCTATTAGCATATTCAGGCATTTTTTTGCCCCATAGACCTCAATGGAAGTGTCTGAGCATATCCTGTGTAAATGCACAATGTGTGTTTGTGCACACATTTTTGTGTTTTCCTCCTTTATAGGTAGATACATTTATTGTCATTGTGAATACATTCCACAACAAAATTACAAACAATAATAATAAAAACATTTCACAAAAATACTGCAAACTTCCTTTAACGTTGCAGGAAAATGTAAAATTTATTTCCTAATCTAAAATGAAATTCCCTTTTACTGCGTTTATTGTTCGTGGAAAGAAGCTCTCTTTATATTGATTTGTTCTGGCTTCAGTGTTCCTATATTATCTACCAGAGGGCAACAACCCAAATAAGTGATAACTAGGATGCGATAAGTCACTCCTTATTTTCTCCACTCTTCCAAGACAGCGGGAATCATAAATTTCTGCCAAGGATGGAAAACTACAACCCACTATTTTCTGCGCAGTAGAAATTATTTTCTGCAGAGCGTTCCTGTCCACTACAGTGCAGTTTGGTGCCATACCAAGATACAGTACACCAATATGCCCTCTATTGAAGAGCGATAAAAAGTCTCCAGTACCTTTTTATCCTAGACCATTCTTCCTGAGCAGTCTAACAAAATATAATTGTTGCTAAAAAAAAATTTATGAATGCTTGTACGACTGACCATACAAGATTCTCGGAAATATACAGTTGCAAGAAAAAGTATGTGAACCCCTTGGGATTACTTGGAGTTTTGCATGAATTGGGCATAAAATGTGCTCTGAACGTCATCTAAGTCACAACAATAGAAGAACACAGTCTGCTGAACATAATACTACACAAACATTAGATGTTGCCATGGTTTAATTGCACATAGCATGTAAACATTCACAGTGCAGGGAGGAAAAAGTATGTGAACCTTTGGCCTTAATAACTGGTTGACCCTCCTTTGGCAGCAATAACCTCAACCAAACGTTTCCTGTAGTTGCAGATCAGACCTGCCCAACGATCTGGAGTAATTTTGGACCACTCCTCTTCACAAAACTGTTTCAGTGTAGCAATATTCTTGGGATGTCTGGTGTGAATCGCTCTCTTAAGGTGTTGCCACAGCATTTCAATCGGGTTGAGGTCAGGACTCTGACTGGGCTACTCCAGAAGGCGTATTCTGTGCTGTTGCAGCCATTGTTTGTGTTGAATTACTTGTATTCTTTGGGTCATTGTCCTGTTGCATCACCCATCCTCTAAGGAGCTTCAGTTGGCGGACAGATGGTCGTATGTTTTCCTGCAAAATGTCTTGATAAACTCTGGAATTCATTTTCCCATCAATGACAACAATCCTTCCAGGCCCTGAGGCAGCAAAGCAGCCCCAAACCATGATGCTCCCCTCCGCCATGTTTTACAGTGGGGATGAGGTTTTGATGTTGGTGTGCTCTGCCTTTTTTTTCTCCACACATAGTGTTGTGTGTTCTTCCCAAACAACTCAATCTTGGTTTCATCTGTCCACAGTATATTTTACCAGTAGTGCTGTGGAACATCCTGGTGCTCTTTTGCAAACTTCAAACGTGCTGCTATATTCTTTTTGGACAGCAATGGCTTCCTCCGTGGTGCAGTCATTTTTACAGGACGACCAAGCCTAGGGAGAGTAGCAACAGTGCTAAACTTTCTCCATTTGTAGACAGTCTGTCTTACCGTGGACACATGAACATCAAGGCTTTTGGAGATACTTTTGTAACCCTTTCCAGCTTCATGCAAGTCAACAATTCTTGATTGTAGGTCTTCTGAGAGCTCTTTTCTGCGAGGCATGGTTCACATCAGACAGTGCTTCTTGAAACCAGTAAACCCAGAACAGTTGTGTGTTTTTTAAGGGCAGGACAGCTGTCAGCAACACATCCAATGTCATCACACTGATTGGAGTCAAGGTTGGCTCACTCCTAGCTCCTATTAGCTCTGAGAGAAGTCATTAAGCTAGGGCCTCACATACTTTTTCCTCCCTGCACTGTGAATGTTTACAAGTTATGTGCAATTAAACCATGGCAACATCTAATGTTTGTGTATTATTATGTTCAGCAGACTGTGTTCTTCTATTGTTGTGACTTAGATGACATTCAGAGCACATTTTATGCCCAATTCATGCAAAACTCCACGTAATCCCAAGGGGTTCACATACTTTTTCTTGCAACTGTATGCTTTGGGTTGTTGTCATGCTAAAAGATGAAGTTCCACTTCATGTTTAAGCTTTCTAACAGAAGCCTGAAGGTTTTGTGCCAATATTGACTGGTATTTGGAAAGGTGGAAAAGTTCTGAAATGATTTATCTTTGTCTAATTTTTTTTACATCACAGAAACCTGACATTTTAACAGGGGTTTTTATATCCACTGTACATATATATATATATATATATATATATATATATATATATATATATATATATATGAAATCCGCACATTCCTTTTTCTTTCATTTGTTGAATAGTTGTTGCAAATCAGGTATGCAGAGGTGCCAAACCTAGACAATGAGCATTTTCAGGCAGTCAGAAGCCTGCATAATTTCCATCATGACAGGTGTGCTTTAAACTGGGAAAGCTATTTCACACATTGTGACATTTTCTTACAACTTTTACAGCTTTATTATTAACAGAAAAGTCTCAGTAGGTTCTTTTCTTGCACAGCATTACCAGGCTGCTCTGTGGTAATTATCATTACTGGCTTGCTACGGTTTCCCTCATCCAACACTCTACAATCAAGCTGACATTTAGAGTAGATAGAGGAACAAAACTGGATTCACACATGCAATATGATAACCCTGGAACCATGCAAATCAAAGAGGGCAAACTGTTTGAAAGAATTAGTATTTGTTTACATGAGAAAATGTTTACTTTTCCTTTTAAATGTTGACCTATCCCAGTTAAAAATCTAGATTTTTTTCTTAACAGCTACTAGTTAACTTTGTTTTAGAATACATACAGGGGAAACACAAAAATTATTAAAGTGACCAACTGTGCACTGTGCAAAGAAATCTATAGAAAACACAAAGGCCATATAGACAATATGCAATCTGGACTCTTCAGAATGTTTTAACCCATCAGCAAATGGTGTCAGGTAAGCTATATTGCCAAAATGATTGGGACACCCCTCCAAATAATTGGTTTCAGGTGTTCCAATCACCTTCATTGGCACAGGTGTTTGAAATCAAGCACCTAGGCATGCAGACTGCTTCTACAAATATTTGTGAAAGAATGGGTCACTCTCAGGAGCTCAGTGAATTCAAGTGTGGTACCGTAATAGAGTGCCACCTGTGCAATAAGTCCATCCATGAAATTTCCTTGCTACTAAATATTCCACAGTCAATTGTTAGTGGTGTTATAACAAAGTGGAAGCAACTGGGAACAACAGCAACTCAGCCACGAAGTGATAGAGCGGGGTCAGCGTATGCTGAAGCGCACAGTGCGCAGAAGTTGCCAACTGTCTGCAGAGTCAATAGCTAAAGACCTCCAAACTTCATGTGGCCTTCAGACTAGCACAACAGTGCATAGAAAGCTTCATGGAATGGGTTTCCATAACTGAGTAGCTGCATCCAAGCCTTCCATCACCAAGTGCAATGCAAAGCGTTGGATACAGTGGTGTAAAGCATGCCGCCACTGGACTCTAGAGCAGTGGAGACGTGTTCTCTGGAGTGATGAATCATGCTTCTCTGTCTGGCAGACAATGGACGTGTGTGGGTTTTGGCGGTTGCCAGGAGAATGGTACTTACCTGACTGCATTGTGTCAAGTGTAAAGTTTGGTGGAGGGGGTTTATGGTGTGGAGTTGTTTTTCAAGGGTTGGGCTTGGCCCCTTAGTTCCAGTGAAGGGAACTCTTAAGGCGTCACCATACCAAGACATTTGGACAATTGTGCACAAAGCAAGGTCCATAAAGACATAGATGAGCGAGTTTGGGGTGGAGGAACTTGACTGGGAGGGATTTTGGTCCACTCTTTACAGATCTTCTCTAAATCCTTAAGGTTTCTTGGCAGTCAATTGGCAACTCGAAGTTTCATCTCCCTCCATACATTTTCTATAGGAAAATGTATGGAGGTCTGGTCTGGTGTATAGGAAGGTCTGGAGACTGGCTAGGTCACTCCATGACCTTAATGTGCTTCTTCTTGAGCCACTCCTTTGTTGCCTTGGTGGTATGTTTTGGGTCATGCTGGAAGACCCATCCACGACCCATCTTCAGTTTTCTGGAAGAAGGTTCTCATCCAAGATTTTACAATACATGGCCCCGTCCATTGGCCCTTCAATGCGGCAAAGTCGGTCTGTACCTTTAGCAGAGAAACAGACCCAAAGCATAATGTTTCCACCTCTATGCTTGACTGTAGGGATGGTGTTCTTATGATCGTAGTCCAGTATTTTTCTTCCTCCAAACACGGCAAGTCGAGTTAATGCCAATGTCAATTTTAGTCTCATCTGACCACAGCACTTTCTCCCAAGACTTTCCATCTGCCCCGTGATAGAGGGACAAATGGACCTCAGTGAAACACAAGTGCAGTGACGTAATACATTAGTAGTCCTTTGATTACTTTTTCCAAACTCGTAACTGGAGGCCCATACCTCCATGCAGGAGCCAGTGCATAAAATTGTAATGGTCTGCAGACTTCAATGCACATTTTTTTTCAAAAGTTGGACTATGTCTTTAGATAGTTGAGTGACATTAATATGAGGGAAATGTTGTACCTCTTTTGGAAGTTCCATTTTTGTGTTTTGTGTTATGGTGTTTCTGAGGAATAAATAGTAGATCAGTGTTGGTTTTAAAAAGAAAAAATGCATTTACTGGAAAAAGTTTACAATGTATTATTTATTTCCCCCATTTTAAAATTACACTTAAATGATGTCCCTGATAAAAAGCATGGCAAAGTTATTGCAAATGGAAAAAGGCACTGACAAAACAATAACAAACAACAAACGACAATGAAAAAAAAAAATGAAATTGGTGGGGGACAAAAGCAGTGAAATAATGGCTAAGGAGACAAGGGTTGCATAGGAATACCTTTAAATTAAAAAAAATATTATTTTGTTTACTGGTAAGGCTTCTTTAACTGGTGCCATATGCAGATGAAAAGTCACATCTTTAAACTACATATGAATGAAATGGTAAATAAAATATAATAGTAACCAGGGGCGGACTGACCATTTGGAAACTCGGGCACTGCCCGAAGGCACGGGGTCAGTAGGGGGGCCCCATGAGATGCCCCTGGTACCTTTTTCATAGGCTTTTTTGAGTTTGGGCAAGGACACATGGGCCCCATGATCCCCTATTGCCCAGGGGCCCCATGAGTTGTCAGTCCGCCCCTGATAGTAACATTATATTACTCAGTGACACTTGCAGACTATCTGCAAGTGTCAGTTTACTGCAGTGACTGCATTTGGACTGCCACTGCTGCTATGTAATGCAAAGAAATTTGCTGCTGTCATTCTGACAGCAGATAATTGCCGATAATAGTAGCGGCATAGCAGCGTCATGGGGAAAGGTGTTGAATGTAGGAGAGGCACCTTAAAAATGTAAAGGTTTTTTAGGACATTGAAGGTTGAGGCCCTGTTCACACTTGGTGATTTGGAATTGCTAGCAAAATCGCTGTGATTCTGCCCACAATTCCAAATTGTGGAAAAATGTGTGACATGTTTGGGTGCTGTTATTCTTAATGGATAAAGATCCCTGTGCTCAAATCCCAACAGCTAGTGCATGCATTTATCCATCAGGTGCTAAAGGGGTGTAACCACACATTAACACTAGAAATTCTGAAGGACTCTCTGCACACTGGTATATACCCTTTCAAGCAGACTATGCAATAAATAGGGATATTTAGTTCACACATATTGCAATACATGCTTAAGCTGGCCAACTGCGTCAAAGTCATCCCTCTATGGCCAGTCCTACTCTTCTCTGCCTACGCAAGTGCTACTGTGGACACAATGCTAGCATAGGGGAAAAGACACAATGGGGAGAGCTACAAGGGTCAGTAGCCAGTGCTTGCGTGGGGTTTCTCCAAGGACTTTGCTTTGATCCCACACTCCAAAGACATACTAGTAGGTTGGTTGGCTCCTGCTGAAATTGGCCCTAGTGTATGTGTCTGCATGCATGGGAGTTAGGGACCTTTGATTATAAGCTCCTTGAGGGCAGGGACTGATGCGAATGTATAATATTTATGTAACGTGCTGCACAAATTGATGTCACTTTAAAATAATATACCTGTAAAAAATAAAATGAAAAAAAAAAAACCCAAAAAAAACAGCTGTCATACATTAACTTATAGAATAGTAATAGTTGTACATCTAGTGCTTATACTTGCTTTAAATTTAAGTGATGACAGAGATGATTTCCTCTCTGATGAGCATAATCCCAAAGTCAGTCTTTTATGTGTTAACCTTTGCAATTGTTTCCTTAGGCCATGGATCTGTTTTGAATGAAGATGGTGAAGTTGAGATGGATGCTATTATGGATGGCAAAGATTTATCCTCGAGAGCTGTCTCTGCGGTCACATGTATTGCCCAATAAAACTTGCTCGCCTTGTAATGGAAAAGGTACTTTAACAAAAAATGTCATGGTTGTATGGCAAATCTGGCTAAGCTGTGTACTTATCTCTCCCAAATCACTAGCATGGATAGCACTATTAACCCCTTCACGCCTAAGGGTAAAACAAATCTAAATGCCTAAGCACAATTTTGCAACATTGACATGTGTTGGTAAAACCGTACATATCATCACAACAGGACAAATTGGGCTTTCATTTGGTGGTAAATGGTAATGGATATATCCTGATTTTATTTTATTATCAAAGGAAAACTGGCCCAAAATAGTAAAAAAAAATTTTTTTTTTATTTAGCTGTGTGTTTCTTGTTACTACCATAACCTACCACCAAAGAACAACCCAAAATAATTTATCCAGCTCTTGACAACTACAGCTATACCATATATGTGTATGTAATTTGTTGTTTGTACCCGTAGTACAGCCCAGAAACAATAGTGCGCATTTTGTTTTTGTCTTTTTTTTTTTTTACCCAAAAAACACTGACACTGACACCAATTTTTTTTAAATCCTGACCTTTGACCCTGACCTTTTGACCTTTGACCCCGACCTTAACCCAAACAATAATCCTGGCACTGAACTAGATCAAACCTTGATCTAGGTATTTTTTATTTATTTTTTATTTTATTTTTTAATATTTATTAATTTATCTTTTTTTTTTTACAAACTTTTTTTTTTTCTCTCTATGCCAGGAGTTAGAGAGATACAATGTATCTCTCTTCTTCATTCATAGAGAGAAAAAAACAAGGGGGCCGGGCCTGCATGGTCACTGATCACTGTGATAGCCAATCAGAGGCTATCACAACGATCATGTGACCCGGAATCTGGAGTCCCGGGTCCCGATCGTTAGAATGGGACCCGGGGCTCAGTGACACCACGGTCTTTGTGCTGGGAGTGTGCAGTGTGGTGCACTCCCAGTACAAAGACAGGTATGCAAATATGTGGCCCCACGAAAAAAAAGCCCAGTTCCGCGAGGCTGCATATTTGTGTGACGTCGGTGTCAAGGGGTTAAAATATAATCAAATGATACAGATAAAGGCGGGTGATCTAAGATGGCTCATTGATAATCAATAATGATTAACTAGTTATAAAATCATCATTTATTATAAAGATAGTATAACATATTAACATAACCAAATGATATCCTCTCTCCTGTCCCAAGATCAAATGATCGTTATTGCTTAGTATGTTGGACGGAGAGCTGTAAGACCTGCTGGTATTTTATGAAAGACATTCCACCCCCTGGGGCTTAGTAGGGTGCACCATTTGCTCCTCCTGTAACTGCAGCTTACCTATATACATTTGACACTGGCTTGGAAGGCACTGCTCTTTATTGCAAAGATGGTTATTTCCTGATGACTGGAATGGACTGGAATTGGTCAACCTTGATGACCTATCTGGAGAATGTTCAAAGTTAGATCTGAAAATATGCTTTGCAGATCTCTGTTCATTCCCTGTTGAGTAGAATTGAGACAAAAACCTTGCAAGTCATCTGTCATATACAAAACACAGAGTCCTGAGTACAGTTGTGCTCAAAAGTTTGCATACCCTGGCAGAAATTGTGAAATTTTGGCTTTGGTATTGAAAATATGACTTATCATGCCAAAAAAAATACTCTTTTATTGAAGGATGATGATCATATGAAGCCATTTTTTATCAAATAGTTGTTTGGCTCCTTTTTAAATCATACTGATAACAGAAATCACCCAAATGGCCCTGATCAAAAGTTTACATACCCTGGAATGTTTGGCCTTGGTACAGACACATGAGGTGACACACATGGGTTAAAATGCCAATTAGAGGTTAATGTCCCACATCTGTTGCTTTTTAAATTGCAATTAGTGTCAGTGTATAAATAGTCAATGAGTTTGTTAGCTCTTACGTGGAAGCACTGACTAGGCTAGATACTGAGCCATGGTGATCAGAAAAAAACTGTCAAAAAGTCCTGCGTAACAAGGTAATGGAACTTTATAAAGATGGAAAATGACATAAAAAGATGTCCAAAGCCTTGAATATGCCAGTCATCAAATAATCCAGGGTACAGTGAAGGACACACACACCGCCCCCTAGTAAAACACTCCCTGCATACAGTTAACCCTTTGTCTGCCCTTCATGTTAACCCCTTCCTGCCCAGTGCCATTAGTACAGTGTCAGTGCTTTTTTCTTAGCACTGATCACTGTATTGGTGTCACTGGGGATGTCAGTGACACCAAGTCAGTTCCCTCCAGTGTCAGGATGTCCGCCGCAGTCCTGCTATAAGTCGCTGATCGCCGCCATTACTAGTAAAAATACAAAATTAAAACTTTTATGTAAACCAATTAATTTACACCTATTGGGATTTTTTTTCTTTGCAAAAAGTGTAGCAGAGTACATTTTGGCATAAATTTATGACAAAATTAGATTTTGTAAATTTTTTTATTGGACATTTTTAATAGCAAAAAATACCACTGAAAGAAAGTTCAATTTGTGGGGAAAAAAAGGACGTAAATTTCATTTGGGTGCAGCGTTGCATGATCACGCAATTGTCAGTTAAAGTAATACAGTGCCATAAGCAAAACATGGCCTGGTCAGGAAGGGGGGTAAATCCTCTGGAGGGCAAATGGTTAAAAATGCATGTTGTTGGCACATTATTTCTACTTGTGTTCAGTTTCAGACAAGAGCAACTGTGTGCAGCATTTTGCAAAAAATTATGACATCTAGTGGTCAGTTTGCAAAATGACATTTGAATCCTCCAGGCACAATTAATGCAATCAAACTATATTTAAAACTCTTATCACAAAGGTCTGTAAATAGCATGAAAGCTTGGAATAGTATTTTAAGCAGTGTAGATTTTAGCATGCAGATATGCCATCTCCAAATATCATGTGTATGCACATTTCGCAAAGTCAGAAATTCTCTTTTACAAAATGAAGACAGGGTATTTTATTGAATGACATTTCTGTTCATGTCTATTTTTTAATCCTCTAATTCCTTTTCACTCTCTATTTTCGAAGACTGATCACCTGCTTTTAACTTGTAAAGGGACATTGCTGTTTGCTAAGTCGCAAGGCATCCCAGAAATTCCTGGTGAAAAACCCACCACTGAGCGCTCAAGAGAAAGATGGAAGAAAGATCTAAAATCTGGTTCAATTCCAAAGTCAGTTGTAAGCCCAGCGTAACATATTTTTTGGAATCGGTTCATTCTTGTATGAAATTCTGAATTTTTGTTAGGGAAAAAAAGTGTTGCTCATAGAAACTAGTCAAATTCCAGCTTTCATGTTGTGTGTGTGTGTATGTGTATATGTATCTCTCTACAGGGGTTGGACAAAGTTATAGAAATACCAGGTAAAATGAACATAATCATTACCAAATATGGTGCTAGGACAACCTTTGGCAGCCAAGACGGCCTATATTCTCCTGGGAATTGACAAATATTAGTCTTGGATGGTGGATAATGGAATCTGATACCACTCTTCATCCAAAAATCACTCAATCAGATATTTTAGTCCAACCTCTGTATATATATATTGGGATGAAAATTGGGCATGTGAACGTATGAATGTGACGACATGATTTATTAGTGCTGCAAGCTTAAGTGATGGAACATTCTTTTGCTTCTGTGTTTGAGCCAGAGGACACCTAGCTAAGGTGGGAAGCCTCACTTTCAGTGTGTGTGAATGTTTTTTCAAGATAGCACTAGTTCTAGAAAAGAGCTATCAGAAGACCTTACAAGAAATCATGAAGCTAGCAAGGTGTGGGAAGCCAGCACCTGGATGTTCCGACAGCACTACTCACTTTCTCATTCACTGTGTCTGTGCCATCTGAGTAGGGATAAACGTTTGGTTGATTGTGAACCAAGTGGTTCACACATACAATTTTCCTACTGTGGAATGTTTAAACATGTTATGGTGCTAACAGATTATGTGGAAAATTGTTGGTGACCCGCTTAGCTGGTGCCTCTGTGAATGAAGTGTTATGGAACATTTATTTGCATGCCACCTAGTAACAGGTGGGAAGCCTCACTTCATCATTCACTGTGTGTGCTGCTAGCCGGATCATATAAGAGCTTACTAATCTTCAAAGAGGGAAAATTGTTGGTGCCCGCTTAGCTGGTGCCTCTGTGAATGAAGTTGCCAGTTTATTTGCCATGCCACAAGTTACAGTATCAAAGGTTATGACGGCATATACAGATTCTGGGAAAAACATCCTCTGATAAGCATGAGTGCGGTCGACATGGTCAACTGCTGAAAGAGACAGAACATAGAAATGGAATTATTTTAGTAAATACAAACTGCTTGTCTTGTGACTTCTATCAGTGCCCGGCCAAGCACTGGTTAATCTTGCAGGAGGAGTTTTCATTCCTGTCCTAGGAGGCTGCATAACTCCTGACCCTTTGTTGAGACAGTCATGATTGGCCCTGTGCTGATCACATGCATCCTTCCAAAGAAAAAAAAACCTCTCTAGCAATACACAGTAAACTGAGCATGTACAGAGTGACTCCTAGAGCTCTGTACTATCAGAAGATGGATTGGGGACAGGAGAAGGAGATGAGGATCAGAGAGAACAGGATGAAACAGTCTTTTAAGACAATGCAGAGGATTAACCCCTTAGGCTCCAAAGTGAGTATAACAAGCATGCTTTACTGGATATACAGAATAATTTTACTGTTGTGGGTTTAGTAACACTTTAACCTGAAAGATGGACACTAATGCAGCCACCAGTCAGATGTGCATGATTCTTATTTACCGTATGGCTTGACTTAAACTCACTTCTTTGTCAGTGCAGTATTCTACAGTTTTGAAAAAAAAAGTAACTGTATGAAATCTGGTTGCTCACTAATGCCAGAAATAGTTACAAAATCTGGAAATCATAACCCCAAGTTAAGGTAAAACTAGGGAGCTGTGTGAATTTTCTCCCCTTTAAACACTTTATTTATTAACTGACTGAGTGTTTCTAAACTACCAGACACAGTGAGGCTGATTTACTAAAGGATTTAAAAATGTTCACACAAAAAAGAGTAGAGATTAATTTCAACTATCTAATCATGGAGGGATGAAATAGACAAGAATTTGTTTTACATATGTCTGGATAATTAATGTGGATCTTCTCTCTTTTTTGTGTGAACATTCTCAACTCCTTTAACCTCCCTAGCAGTCTGATTATGTCCATATTTTTGCATGTAAATATGTTTTTTTTTTATTGTAGGCCTGTCATTTTTAGGAATAACTCACTGAAATCTGTACGAACAAGAGTCTAGTAAACATCCCGGGTATGTTACAATTTGAAACACGAAATCATAAATTATAATTTAATAAATAATCATAAAAAATAATAATATAATAATAAATTTAATTCAATAATATAAATCAAACTAAAAACACTGAAATTTGAAATAGAGTGCCAAGTTCGCACATCACTGAGCAAAGTCGCAAAATCGTTTTCAGTGTCTGATGACGAATTTCCCCACGAATCATTATCACTCAATTCTGCAAGTAGTTCTAATTTACTATCGCTGTTCTCTAGCTGGTCTAAAAACCGCTTTTGACCTAAAGGGATGCTTTTTGGACGACATGGACGTTTCTCAGTTTCCAGGCAGAAAGAACAGTAAAAATGCAGGTAGGGCACAGGACAAGGCACTAGGGACAAAATGTATGTGAAATGGTTTGATACAGTAATGTTTTACTATGCGATTTTAGTGTATTTAGTGAATGTCACTTTTTGTCATTTTCAAATTTCCCGCCGTTCCGTCCCCCCTACGTCCCGACGCTCGTAGGGGAAGGAACCCAGATGACAGATGCCGGCATCCGCCGGAGGAAATTGCTGGGGACACTGCAGGAGGGACATTGCAGGAGCGCAGGACAAGGTAAGTGATCGAGGGATCCCGGAGCAGCGCCACATGGTAAGCCCGAGTGTAGCTCGGGGTTACCGCTTGTGGTAGTGAAACTTTACCCCGAGCTACACTCGGGAATACCGCCAGGGGGTTAATAAATTAGCCCCTATGTATAGAAGTCAAAACTGTACAGACAGCTGCTCTCTCAGTGGGTACTGGTTCTAATACACAGGAGTGTTCAGTGAGTTTAGGACACAGTGGCAGAAGCTAACTTGTACACAACATAAAGCCGGCAAGCAAAAAAAAAATGTGTTTAGTCTGGAAGGATTTACTGCACTACACTGAGATTTTGTTTCTTTATTTGTAGAGGTACAGGGACTGTTGGGGCTGTGGCTGTTGACAGCCAAGGAAATGTGGCTTGTGCGACCTCTACTGGTGGAATCAGTAATAAAATGGTTGGACGTGTTGGAGATACACCATGTATAGGTGAGAGAAAACCTCACCACTTATTTCTGAACTTGCCACACAGTCAACAAAAGACAGTAAAGCTGTGCGTGCATTTGGCCTTTTACTTGCATTATAAGAGATTCAATCCTAAATCGTATAATCTAAGATAATTGTTTTTAGACATTTATATAATCTGAGCATTGTTCATTGCTCCATGGAGTTTCACAGTTGTCCAGCTGATGACTGGTTTCTCTCGACTTCATAGGTATATAGCTTAACAGTTCTTTTGCAATCATCATTCCTATAACATTTATTATGTATACCTTCTTTGCATATCTGGCGGTAAATATAGGTAACGCTGAAGCTTAGATTTAAAGGTACAAGTACAGTACATGGGCTCTTTTCATCTGCTGTTTTGCATTGAAGAAACCAAATTGAACATCTAAAGAAGATCCCTGTATTAATCAGTGATTTCCTGGCAAAACATTGTTGTCAATTACTTTAATTCTGTACACAATCATATGCAGTGCACTGGAAAGTAACTTGTTCATACTGGAACTGACTTTTTCCAATGCACTGCAGAGAAATTAAGAACAAGTTTATTAAAGTGGTTGTAAAGGCTTTAGTTTTTTTACCTTAATGCATTCTATGCTGTAAGGTAAAAAAACCTTTTGTGTGGTGTGCAGCAGCCCCCCCCCCTAATATTTACCTATGCCCCCTCTCAATCCAATGATGTGCACAAGAGCACCGGTTCCACTGGGTCTCTCCCTCCTCATTGGCTGAGAGCAGCAGGAGCCATTGACTCTACCTACTGTCAATCACAGCCTGTGAGCCAATGAGAAGATAGCAGGGGGCGGGGCCAAGCCATGCTGTGTGTGTGATTGGTCACACAGAGCAGCGGATTAAGGAGCGAGCTTGCTTGGGTGCCCCCAGAGCAACCTATTTATTTTGGGGGTATATGGCAAGTGTCCAGGAGCGCCAGCAGGGGGCCTGAGAAGAGGAGGATCGGGGCTGCTCTGTGCAAAATCATTGCACAGAGCAGGTAAGTATAACATGTCTGTTATTTTTTTAAAGGACTTAGTTTAATACACCATTAAAGGAAATCTATGGTTACAGCATACACTTTCATTTTATAACATTAGCATTGTGATACAAACAATAGTTATTTTTGAAAATCCAATATAAACTTACTTGAAAAGTCTCTTTTCATATTATGAGTTCTGCCTGTCTGCTGACCATCTCTTTTCACAACTTCCTGGATTCTCTACTTGCTTTGCAGCTTGCCCTCTATTCTAATTCTAAGGACTGCATACTCCATGGTACCTTGCTGCCTGCAAGCTGTGCTTGCTGTATTGACCCCGCCTCCTGCAACTCCTCCTCTTAGCCTCTTAGAAGGCAGGCTCTGTGGAATGTGAGACACAGCAGTGTGTACCCACAGGGCACAGTAAATACATGCCACAGAATCTTCACAAAGTACGATTACAAACTTCAGAGTTGTTCATAAATAATAAGAGTAGGCTAGAAATAGCATGGATTGAAATTCAGCCAATTCAGCAGGGACTGGACACGATTCGATTCATGTATGGATCAGGCTGATTATCCATGGATCGACTTTGGTACAACCACACTGTCGTTTTTTTTTTTCTACACACGATTACTGCCAGTGGCTATAGCTGCTAGCAGTAATCATTGTGTTTTGCTGGTCTAGAAGGCTCCCCGAGTTCCTCCACTCCCCTCCGGCAGAACACAATAGCACACACAAATACCTGTTGTGGAAGGAAAGAAAATCAAATCATGGGCTGCCTAACAGTGTGCAAGTCCTAATCTGTGTCCCAGGGACCTCAAAAAGGAGTCAACGAGGAGCTGGGACTGTGACTGAGGGTAAAGAGGACAGGAATAAAAACTAGGGTATAATTATAAAGCAGTCAATATGACATTCACCAAAAAATCAGTGCAGGTGAATTGTCCTGGTGCATGTAATTACAATGATTGTTTCACCTGCAGTGAATGTTTGTGGATGTCAAATTCATGGCTTTATAAATGTGTCCATTGGCAGAGGATTTAACTCTACCTCACTCTAATAATAACAAAAAAAAGTTCTGTCTGGAAATCTACTGCACACTGGGCTTAAAAAAACACCTAATTTACAGGTGTTTGATGTTGATTTTTTTTCTTTTTACCCTGTAAAAGCATGTCTTTGTTAGCCTGTGTAGCCAAGCGCATATAGGTGTCCTTTTATGACACAGAGAATAGCTGCGATTTAGAGGATCTCAGCTATTCTCTGGTCATTCACATTTTATGACACTCAGGAGATCATGTCAACCCTTCAGTGGAGATCTGTGTTCTCCCTCCAGATTCTCCAGCCCAGAGCTGGAGAATCAGAGGGACCGCAAACTAAGCAGCGATAATTTACCTCTGCTTAGTAAACTGATCTTTTACTGTAATCTCGCGAGATTATAGTAAAATCAGCCATTTTCCAGCGTTTGTAGACTGTTCTCCCTTCGTTTGGAGAACTGATCTACATATGCTTCATAAACGGCATTCACAGGAAAACTGTGTTCTCTGAGAATGCCGGAGAACTGAGCAGCGATCTATTACTGCTGGTTCATAAACGGACACCATAGACCTTTACAGGCTTATCAGAAGAGGGGTGTTTACAAGCTGAAAAAAAGCCATCACCAGCTCATTCAGGAAAGGAGATTTTGAGAAACAAAAATGCTTGACACACCTAAACGTGACTAGCACTATAGCATTCATTCATTCCAATAATAGCCAGAATAAATTAATATTCTGGTTAATCGGACCCATTAATGCTCAAACACTTGACATGTCTAAGTGCGTGTGTTACACGTGGCTTTAGGCATGTTTAAAGCAGATTTTGTCTGCCAGGAGTAAAAGATGTTCAGAGGAAAAAAATCACTAAATATCTAACTAGATGTCACTGATTCAACTAAGGGCTGGGGGGGAATTTACTAAAACTGGAGTACCCTAAATCTGGTGCAGCTGTGCATGGTAGCCAATCAGCTCCTAACTTCCGCTTGATCAATTAAACTTTGGCAATAAAACTTGGAGGATGATTGTTTTTTATTTATTTATTTTTTATAAAATATTTTATTAATTTTCAATAAATCACATTACATCATTAAAAATTGTAAAATATTCAACAATTCCCTTATACCTCTAAAAAAAAAAAGAGAACCCCACCCACTCCCACCCCCTTGCCCCCCTCTGCTCTCTAATATTTTGCTTCTTACCTCCTCGCTCCACTTCTTTACTCTTCACTCCCAAGGCACCCTTCTCTTTCTTCCTTTCTTATCTCCTCCCTATCTTTCTTTAAGTTCCTCTTTGAACTTATCCCATTTGTCCCACCTTTCTCTGAATCTTACTATTCTATCTTCTTCCTGATGGTAGAGTTTCTCCATGCTATATTCATAGTCAACCGTACTTATCCAATCTTTTTCTTTTGCTATTTCCTGCTCTTGCCAAAATGTAGGTATTAACCCCTTTGCCGCATTTACCAGATGAAATGTCAACAAGTTCTTATATTTTTCAACTGCAGTCTCAGTTTTATGGAATAAGCTTATGCCTGGATCTTTCGGAACCTCAACCCCCATTATCTCCGGAATTAAATAAATTATTTCTTCCCAATACTTCTGAATTTTAGGGCACTCCCACCATATATGTGCCATTGTGCCTTTTATCCCACATCCTCTCCAACATAAAGGTGATTTATCTACTTGTTGTTTATGTGCCACACTTGGTGTAATATACCACCTTAATTAATTATAATTAATTTCCACCACCCTCCTATCTTCTACAGCTCCATGTGCTAATCTAAACATTTTCTTTTTTTGTTGCTCATCAAATCTTATTCCTAACTCCTTTGCCCACTTCTCCATGTACGCAGGAGGGGCAACCCCCACCATTTCAGTAAGAGTTTTATAAAACCGGGAAGTACCCTATTTCCATATTTTATTTGTATTAAAAAAGTTGTTCTAGTGAGTTTAAATCTGTCATTGGTCTTAAGGGTTTAGGGAGCGAACTAACAAAATGTTTTAACTGAAGATATCTCCACTTGTTTAACAAGGAAAACAACTTCTCCTTTTTTTAACTCCTGTCCATTATATCCCATCCATTATATTATTTAACTGTGCATTCCCTTTTGTTACCCATTTACCTGAAATGTCTTCCCTCCCTGGAGGGAAGAAATCTGTGTTTACCAATGGTATAAACATAGAATTGAACTCCCACCCCATTTATTTATAAATCATATCCCATACCTTAATTGCATTTCGTGTGTAAGTGCTTATACTTTCTCTAAATGTACGATATTGATGTGGAATCCATACTATCTTATCCATTTGTGTCCTACTTAATGTGTTTTCTATATTCACCCAACTTTTTCTTAGTGCATTATATGTTCAATCAAAAATACGTGAAAGTAACATGCATAATATCTCTTAAAATCAGGCACACTTAGGCCCCCCTTATCCTTATCCCTACATAACACTTCATAACTTATTCTCAGTTTTTTATTTCCCCAAATATATCTCAATATCATTTTTCTAATTGTTTTAAAATAGGCTCCCGGGAGTTGTATCAACATGTGGAATTTATATAGGATTTTTGGGATGGTTATCATTTTTATCAAATTTATTCGTCCTATCCAAGAATATGGTCCTACTAATAATCATCTCAGTTCCTCCTTTATCTCATTCATTAGTGGGATATAGATTATTTTATATAAATTCTTTAAGGATGAGGTCAATTTAATCCCCAGGTATTTTAATTCTCCTTCCCTCCATGAGAAGATAAATTCTCTTTGCAAGGTTTTTTTTTTTAATTATTGGGACATTAATATTTAATATCTCTGACTTTACCAGGTTAATTTTTAAGTTTGACATCTCTCCATAACATTTCATTATTTTCATTAAATTAGGTAATGTTAGCCTAGGATTAGCCACATAGAAGATAGCATATCATCTACATACACTGCCACTTAGGGCAGAGGACAGAGGGGCTAAATGCTATTGCTGGCAGCGAACAGGGCCGATCATGCTAACTGCGTTTTTGGGGACACTATACAAAGGAGGCACTAGTATAGTTCTGCTCATGATCATTATATTGATCCTGTGTTGGTACAGCCAGAGCAACTTACAGGTATGTAGCTTTGCCTGTAGCTGCCACCCTGTCGCAGTACATTGCGGGCGGGTGGGAAGTGGTTAAAGTATATACCTGTTCTTATGATTTCACTATTCTTTTATACTTTGATTTGTTTTTATGTTCTGTATGTTTCTTTCAGGTAGCGGGGGCTTTGCAGATAACAATGTTGGTGCAGTTTCTACTATAGGAGATGGGAAAGCATTATGAAAGTAACACTAGCCAGACTTATCCTGCATTATATGGAGCGAGGTAAATCATCTATAAAAAAATTTGTTTCAGGTCTTGTAACCATAGTGATTTTTAAAAAGGGAAGTTGTTATATTGACATTATTGGAGTAATATATCATCTGTTCTAGTGCATAGATATACCATGCTGCTCATCATGGTTACCCAAGGTTAGACACTTTTAACTGCTGGATAACAGTACAAAGAGAAGAAGTATGCAATAACTCAGATATATTGGATTGGAAATTAGTGTTTACTCTGCAGCACTCTACTCTTTTCAAAAGAATATGTCATGAAAATAAAAATGACACTGGAGTTGATAAACTGCAACTGGAGAGTGCAAAATCTAGTGCAGCTGTGCATGGTAGCCAATCAGCTTCTAACTTCAGCTTGCTCAATGAAGCTTTGACTATAAAACCTGGAAGATGATTGGTTTCTATGCAGAACTGCACCAGATTTTGCACACTCCAGTTTTAATAAATCAGCCTCACTGCTGTATGTTTACCACTTCCCTAGTCACACCTTTTTTTACCCCCTATGGGCCAGATCACTTTTTATAATTTGGCTATGGAGATGTTTATTTGACAATAATTTGTTTTTTTAAGGGCAAAGAGCAAACAAGGCTGTCTTTTGGTGATATTGTCATGCAAAAATACATTTTTTACCACAATACTTAGACAGTAAAATGTAACAAAACTAAAATAAGGATTTTTTTCTTTATTTGACCAGTGTTGATTTTTCACTCTCCAGTTTTAGTAAATCAGCCTCAATGCACGTCCCCTGTCACACCTTTTTACCTCCTCTGGGCCAGATAACATTTTATAATTTGGCTATGGAGCTGTTTATTTGGCAATCATTTTTTTTTAAGGGCAAACAAGCCTTTCATTTGGTGATATTATCTTGCAAAAATATATTTTTTACTACAATACCTAGACAATAAAATAACAAAACTAAAAAAGGACTTTTTTTTCTTTATTTGACCAGTGCTCATTTAAAAAATAGTGCTATTGTAGATTTAAAATAACACTAAATTATGATTTTGGTACAAAGTAAATATTTTTACAAATGAGACAAAGTAATTTTTTTCCTATTTTCCTTTTTTTAACCACTTGCCCCTCCAAGGACATGCGCATCGTTTTGCAGGTAAATAAATTATTTTTAACAGGTTACATGTTACACCCTGAATATGGCTGTAACATGTACCATATTACAAAAAGGTGAACTTATCCTTTAAACATATACTTGTTAAAAATGAAATGGTATGGTGTTTATCAACACATTAACAGATTTATTACACTTATTTGTTTTCAGTTATTAACCAAAAATTATGTAAAAAGCTTCTATGCTTATTCCTTTTGCACACAACAATGTGCATATAAACTCTTGTGAAAAAAAATTCCCTCCTTTTCTTTCAGCTCTCTATGCCTGACTATGTGCCTAGACTATGGACATTAAGGCCGGGTTCACATGCATTGGTAACACAGACATGTTATCACTAGAAAATAAAGCAGCACAGTGACACTGAATAGGCTGCAAATGCAGTAAAAACACTCTTTTTTCAGGAGCTCAAAATACAGAGGAATGCATTGCCGTGCATTCCTTTTGATTGTTACTGCACCACAAATATATGAAATATATACATAGAGTATGTACTGTGTGTATATACAGTGATGTGAAAAAGTATACCCCTACCTGTTTTTTGTTTGTTTTGCATATTCGTCACACTCAAACGATTCAGATCATTACACAGATTTTAATATTACACAAAGCTAACCCAAGTAAATACAAAATGCAGTTTTTAACCACTTGACCTCCATAAGACTTACCCCCCCCCCCCCCCCCCTTCATGACCAGGCTATTTTTTCTGATACGGCAAGCTTTCTTTTGGTGATATTTGATCACCTCTGAGTTTTTTATTTTTTGCTCTATAAATGAACAAACACCAACTGTTTTTTTTTAAAAATATATATTTTTTACTTTCTGCTATAAAACATATCCAATAAAAAAGAAAAAAATCTAATTTCTTCATAAATTTAGTCCAAAATGTATTCTACTACATATTTTTGGTTAAAAAATCCCAATAAGTGTATATTGATTGGTTTGTGCAAAAGTTATAGTATCTACAAATTGCGGTATATATACTGGATTTTTTTTGTTATATACTAGTAATGGCGGTGATCAGCAACTTATAGCAGGAGTGCGATATTACGGCAGACACTCTGACACTAACTGACTCTTTGTGGGGAACTGGTGACACTAATACAGTGATCAGTACTAAAAATATACACTGTCACTGTATTAATGACACTGGCAGGAAAGAGGTCCTTTGTGATCAATGGGTGCTGGCGGTCATCCATTGGCTAACACCTCATGATCAGCTTCTGCTGAGTCCAATCATGGTAGAAGTGGCACGCGCCCCCTTGTGGTTAAATAATCAATTAATTTATTATGGGAAAAAAGCTGTGCAAACCTGCCTATCCAGTGCGCACGCGCCCCCTTGTGACGAAGGTACAAAATCACGTTTATTTACGTGATTTTGCACAGAGAGTCCGCCCTGTAGCAGTACATCTGTTATAGGGTGGACTTAAAATGGTTAAATAATTATTTAATTTATTAAAAAGCTGTCAAAACCTGCCTGTCCCTACATGAAAAAGTAATTGCCCCCCTTTGCTAAATCATGAATGAACTGTGGTTAATCACATTTTTTTGGAGAGCTGAGTTAAATTTCACTTGCACACCCAGGCCTGCTTACTGCCAGACCTGTTGAATCAAGAAATCACTCAATTAGAAGCTGTCTGACAAAGTGAAGCACACTAAAAGATCTCAAAAAGCAACACATCATGCCGCAATCTAAAGAGATTCAAGAACAGATGAGAAACAAAGTAATTGACATATATCAGTCTGGAAAAGTTTACATGGCTGGCCTACCAAAATCACTCCAAGAGCACAACGACGATTCATCCAGGAGATCATAAAATAATCCAGAACAATATCTAAAGGCCTCCCTTGCCTCTGCGAATGGATAAGTTCCAAAAATGGACTGCGCTAAGGTCACAAATTGACAAAATAAACTGTGTAATCTTTAAAGTGATAACACTGAGCAAAATACAAATAAAATATTAATATTCAGTCCCAACATGTGACTAATTGGTGCAGCGGTGCGGTATCTTTAACGGTGATACTCCATACTGAAATGACAAGTGCTTCACTGTGTTCACACTGGTGCCCCACATAGATATAAAACTCACCGTCATTTCATGACCACCTATCTCTAGGTAAGTCACACTCACTTTTTGGGACTATCCCAGTTTGCAATCCAGTCCTGATGGCCGATATTCCTTCGCCCTTATAACCGTGGATGCTGATAGTAACCAATAAATGGTCTGGGGCCGTTTTGCAGCTTCAGGGACTGGACGACTTGCCATAATTGATGGAACCATGAATTCTGCGCTCAACCAGAAAGTTTTTTACTCTTAATAAATGAAATCATTTAAAAACTGAATTTTTACTCAAGTTATCTTTGTGTAATGTTACCGTTTGTTCGCTGATCTGAATCATTTAAATGTGACATATGCAAAAAAAAAAATCAGGAAGGGGGCAAATACTTTATATATATATATATATATATATATATATATATATATATATATATATAAGTTTTGGGACACCTGCCTTTACACGCACGTGAAATTTAATGGCATCCCAGTCTTAGTCTGTAGGGTTCAATAATAATATCATAAAGATGTTCTATCGGGTTGAGGTGCAGGTCAGTCAAGTTCCTCCACCCCAAACTCGTTCATCCATGTCTTTATGGACCTTGCTTTGTGCACTGGTGCGAAGTCATGTTGGAACAGGAAGGGGCCATCCCCAAACTGTTCCCACAAAGTTGGGAGCATGAAATTTGTCCAAAATGTCTTGGTATGCTGCTGCCTTAAGAGTTCCCTTCACTGGAACTAAGGGGCCAAGCCCAACCCCTGAAAAACAACTCCACACCATAATCCCCCCTCCACCAAACTTTGCACAATGCAGTCAGGTAAGTACCGTTCTCCTGGCAACCACAAAAATCAGACATGACCATCAGACTGGCAGACAGAGAAGCGTCAGATTCATCACTCTAGAGAACACGTCTCCACTGCTCTAGAGACCAGTGGCGGCATGTTTTACACCACTGCTTTTCATTGCATTTGGTGATGTAAGGCTTGGATGCAGCTGCTCAGCCATGGAAATCCATTCCATGAAGCTCTCTACGCACTGTTGTTGTGCTAATCTGAAGGCCACATGAAGTTTGGAGGTCTTTAGCTATTGACTCTGAAGACAGTTGGCGACTTCTTGGCACTGTGCGCTTCAGCATGTGCTGACCTCGCTCTGTCATTTTCTGTGGTCTACCACTTCATGGCTGAGTTGCTGTTGTTCCCTGTTGCTTCCACTTTGTTATAATACCACTAACAGTTGACCATGGAATATTTAGTAGCAAGGAAATTTCACGGATGGACATATTGCACAGGTGGCAACCTATCATGGTACCATGCCTGAATTCACTGAGCTCTTGAGAGCGACCCATCTTTGTAGAAGCAGTCTGCATGCCTAGGTGCTTGATTTTTTTTTACACCGGAGGCCATGGAGATGATTGGAACACCTGAATCCAATGATTTGTAGAGGTGACCCATTACTTTTGGTAATATAGTGTGTATATACTGTGTATATATTTTATATATATATATATATATATAGAGAGAGAGAGAGAGAGAAAATATTAGCACCTTTGCATTTCTGTCAGATAATGCACCACGTCACCTAGAATATTGTTGCAATACAACTGTTTAGGCATTCTCATGTTTATTCCTTTTGTTTGTATTGGTATGACATAAAAAAGTGGAAAAGCAAAAAGCCAAATTGGACAAAGTAAAGTGCATGCAAAACCCCAAAAATGGACTGGACAAAATGATTGTCACCTTCTCAAAATTGTAAAAAATAATTGCATT